CGGGGGGAGGGGGGGCACCAGAGAAACAAGAAAATCACATTCACACTCCTTTTTTGGCCTCATCTCAAATATTTCTGCAAATCCAAAAAGCTTGTTTTTGGGGGTGGGGCTAGGAAAGTCTCTTTCCTGCATAAGTTCTCTCTAGGCAGAACCAGATCATTTCACCCACCTCCAAAACTCAACATTAAGGAGCTGTGCAAAAACGTAACAAGAATTGACCAGCTCAGGCACAATGCCCACTAACCCGCCCTTCTCCACGCGCCCTGATGATAACGAGGCTGCAGGAAGCAAGAGTTGGACTTGTCCAGGGTGAAGGGAACTTTGCAAGACCCTAATAGCAGCTCCTTCCTCCTTCTCCAATAAGAGAGGTGACTTAAAGATGAACCCTGGCCAGTGTGCTAACAAAATCTTGCTCCGCGATTCTCAAGCATGAACACCACCCTGGCCTGTTTATCATTCATTGATGCTCATCCTTCTTTCACCCTCCCCATCTCACTCAGTACATTTCAGAATGAGCTGTGTCCTCCTCCTCCATCAATGGTTTGTGGCTTACATTTTCCAGGTCCATCTCTGGGAAAAGGTACACTGGTATTAATGTTGTCTGCAAATTCATGCTGGACAGCACATCAAAGGCCTTTAACAGAGAAGCAGTGTACGCGGAGTTTGAGCGAATAACCAACGGAGGGACTCAGCTAGGGGCCAGCTACCAAATAGACAAGGAGAGCTTGCTTGTGAACGGTGAGTGGCCTGGCAGAGCCCTGGAATCAGGCGTTCCTCGGCACGTTGCTGGGATGGACTTTCTTCTGGCATTACTGAGTCTGCTTTCTTGTTTTCCTGTGCTTCACAAGTTCCCCTTTTCTTCCCAGGTTATTCTCCTCTCATCACAATGACAGGCGAGCCCAGCAGATCTGGTAAGTGTTCTGAGAAGCCATTCACATGAGAGCTGCTGACCAGTGGTTGAGCCTCAGAAAGTTAGTACGAACATGCTCAGCCATGAGTTTACTTGGCGTATGCAGGGACAAGGGCGTCGAGAAGTGGCTCTCCTGGTAGGCAGGCAGCACTCAAGCTGGGCCAGTTGAAATCAGGGATGAGCGGCAGATTCCCGGAGTCCAGTAAATTGCTGAAAGTGGTTCCAGTCACCATTTGGGCTGGTAAAACTGGGCCTCGTCAGTATTTGCAGCAAACATGAGTCTGGCCCCGGTGAAAGGAACTCTCATGCATATCTGTTCCAAGTTTGCAATGGATACGCCATGGCCAGGCTTGTGTTCCTCCTCAAGCCCCCGATGATTATAGAGTGAGACCCGAGTGTCACAGCCTGCAGGCAGCTAACCCACCGCATGTGGCAGGTAGAGAACAGGAAGGACTGAGCTGCATCGAGAGACCTGATCCGTGGCTAAAAGGAGAGCTGGTTTTCCATGAACCATTCGGTCCTGGGCTGCCCAATGCCTGCTCTCATGGTGTTCCGGGGTGTGACGTAGTGTTGGTACCTTGCTGGTTGCTATGCTGGGGCTGGGGGTGACCCCCACTGGCTGCTGGCTGCAGCACGGCCCAGCAGGGCAGGGGATGAGTCATTATGCAAGGGGGCTAAGAACCTGTCTGACGAGGTCTTCCCCAGGGAGCGGAACAATGAGAGGAAGGGGAGTGGAGCCCTGGCTGGGGGCAGGGCTGGAAGTGAGGGAGTTAGTTTCTGTCAGACAGGCTGGGATTTAGGGGCCCAGTCTCCCCCATCTCAAGAGGGGCTGAGGCATCTGTGCTGTGCTGTATCCTGGAGAAGCAATAAACTCCCTCTATTCTACTGCCTGGCGGAGTCTGTGCATGCCGCTACGGGGGTGCAGGAGACGGGAAAACCCCAACACAGCAGTGTGGGCATTTTCACTGTAAAAACTCCTGGGCCCCCTGCCATGCTGCACGCAGGCCCCTGCTCAACCATCCCACGACTGCAGCACAGAGCCCTGACCCTGAACACACCTAGAGAGCATGTTAACACCCAGCCTTTTCCCTTCCCCTGTTGTCAAACCTCCCCTTGACACTGAGCGTGTGTTCTTGTGTCAGAGCACGGCGACTGTGAATGTTGAGCTCTGTCATTTACCCTTTTGTCCTTGCAGAGCTCCCGTATTGGGCGATAATCCTCATCTGCCTCTCAGCATTGCTTGGCTTGATCATCCTCTTCCTCCTGTGTTTCTTGGTAAGTGCTGCCTTTGCTGCCCGTTTCCTCCGAGTCCCAGGTACCTTTGTGGCCCAATGGCTGGGGCTGAGTTAGGGAACTGGGCACCCTGGCTGATTTACACACATTGAAAGTCAATCCTAGCCATGAGTTAGGAAGCAAGAGAACACGAGAGAGGGCAACACACATGGGAAAAGAACCAGTATTTGGGGCCAAGCCCTCCATGCCTCACAGAGGGAGCAGCCAGTATTTGGGGCCAAGCCCTCCATGCCTCAAATACAAGAGGGAGCATAGAGGAATCTGACCCTTGAATAAGTTTTAATAGGGCCCCACCAAATTCATGGCCATGAAGAAAGTGTCTCAGACCATGAAACCTGATCTTGTATGTGCTTTTACAGTATACGGCAGATTCCACAGAGACCAGCATTTCTCAAATTGGGGGTCCTGACTCCAAAGGGAACTGAAGAGGGGGGTCACAAGCAATGATCCCTCTGATCTTGTTCATCCATGTTCCCTCCATGTGTAGAATAATTTTATATGCACCGAGGCATGTGCACCACCAGGAGAAACAAAACCCTAGCTGTGGGTGCTCTGCTGATTGGCTGGGCAGCACTGGAATTTTTCCTAAGCAGCCACCTAAGCGCTCAGCTTACAGGGAACGCTGGTCACCAGGTTGTTTTAGGAGGATCATGATATTGACACCCTACCTCTGCGCTGTCTCCAGACCTGGGCTGCCAGCTACCAGCGGCCTTTCTCCAGCTGTCCAGGTTTGAAGACAGCACCCTCGCCAGCAGCAACCCAGAAGTGAGGGTGGCAGTTCTACATCCCCCCCTTCAATAACCTTGCAACTCACCCACAACTCCTTTTTTGGTCAGGGCCCCTACCATTACAACACTGTGCAATTTCAGATTGATTTCTGGGATTTTACATCCTATGACCATGACATTGACTAAATGGGCAGTGAATTTGGTGGGTTCCTAGTTATCAAGGAAGAAGGTTGAAAAGCCTAAAGGAGGGAGATGGAGAAAACCAGGAAAGTGGAGTCAAGCCCAGAACAGACCAGTGGCTACGTTCTCCCGTCCCTAAATCTCTGCAGAATGCTGGACATGGAGCTGAGTGCAGGAGGTTCAATATATATTTTTTAAAAGACAAATTCCAGCATCGGGGATCACCAGAGGTGAAAGTAAGGCAGCTCCAGCAAGAGTTGGCTGAGCTGTGGGAGAAGCCAGCAGGGAGCTAGTGAAAGAGCTGGCAGGGACCTGGTTCCAATAGGACAGTACCTGTAAGAAATGTAAGTTCTTTTCAACCTTGGGAGTTCAAACTTCTTAGCAACAGGAAGAAAACTGCGGTTCCCTTCCAGGGTCAGACTCCAGCTGCATTGCTGCTGCTGGGATTTGGATGGGTGGATTCTCTGCCAGTCTCCTGGAAGGGTTGCTATTAGGGTCTGAGGGTAGGGAGGAAAGCGTCTCCTTTTTCATGTCCTCTGTTCACAACACAAGCTGTGTAGCCTGCCTTCCCGATAGGCCAACAAGGGCTGCAAAAGAACATTGGTTCATTGCACTCAGGGGTCCAAGAAGGAAACAGCCGGCCATTCTGAACAAGAAGCTTTGGAAAGGAGAGAGACTTCCTGGGATGAAACCAAAGGCTCTGCCATGTGGTGGTGTGATTTTACCCGTCCGCCTCTGTAAAATGGCGATAATTTCTACCAACCTGCAAAGCACTTTTAGGCCCTCAGAGGAAAGGTGGTACAGTGGCTCCCATTTCTCTCATTAACGCTGCTTTCTTCCCACCAGATTGCCTTTTGTCTGAGAAGAAAGGCAGGCCTGTACCAGGTCCAGCAGGACCTATACGGGGTCTATTTCCCACACCTGGACATGAGAAAAATGCACTGACGTGTTGCAGAGATGAACTCTGTGCACCCAGAAGCGCCTCTTCTTACGGACCCACTCACCCACCAGGAGAGAAAAAATGTTTACAACTGCAACAAAGAATGTTTTGTGTCTCCCTTAGTAAATTATGGTTAGCCTGGACTCCTCTTTTCTTTTGGCCTTGATACTGAACATCTTTGCACTGATCTCAGCCATGATTTTGTATTGTGGAAAACTGCCGGCAGTGCAGATGTGTTGGGAAAAGATATTTATTTTTGTATGCACTGTGCGGTTTTGAGCAAATGTTATACTTCCAAAAACCAAACCAGAAAATGAAGTGACCACTAGATCAATGCAGTCTACTGTGCTGCTCAGTGTTAATGTATTTTTTTCTGAAGGGGGAAATTAAATTAGTTAATTTATGGTATTTTAGGTACTAACTATTGTAAATGAACAAAACAAAGAAAATGCACTTTAATTCTACCTTGTTTTTTCTGCTTTATAATTCAAAATGAAATATGTCTATATTTTAAACAGATGAGAAACATAATTTTATATTTTAAATGATGCCAGATTTGTGTTTGTTAAATATGCATTATGAAATATAACTCAGAGAAATTGAGAGACAGTTGTGCCATGTCACTCAGGGTAGAGACTATAACACAGATTGCAATTCAGAAATAAAGGATCAGAAATCATTCTAAGAACACTGGGAGTTTATTTTATTCAGCCTCTGAAATGCGCACTGTGGGGTTCTCTTTGCTTTTGGGGTGGGGTCACAGAACAGGCGTCAAAGTTTGTCCTTAAGGAACCCGTGAAATAAATTCATTCAGGTCTCCCACATTCCAGGCTAGTGCAGGGCTATTGCTCTTTTGACTAATGCCAGGCCCGCCGATGGGGGCGCGTAGGGGGCATCTGCGTTGGGGCTGGTGATTCCAAAGGGCGTACGTGTGAATGATTGGGCTTGTCTTGCAGCAGCAATAGCAACTGGAGCTGCCGGCCCTTTTAAATCACCATGGGAGCGCCGTATGATGCACTCTGTGTAGCTCCAAAGGCCCTGTCCTCCTGAGGCCCTATCCCTTCCACGAGCACCGAGCCATCCCGCCCTTCCCCAGCCTGGCCCAGGGGCCTGGCAATACGGTTGGCCCCTGATTAGTGCACACGCCTCATACTCTTCAAATTGACGGGGCTGGCCATTGGATCATACTACAGGATTCTGGTTTGAAATAGGCTGAGCCCAGACCCTCTTGTAACTTTAAGACCCTGATTCTCCATTGCCCCGTGTGACGTAGTGGGGGTACTTGGCTGGTTTCTATGCTGCTGGCTCTGGGGTAACCCCCACTGGCTGCCGTGGGTACCAGGACCCAGCAAAACAGGATGAGTCACTATGCAAACCAGTATGGCCAGACACCCCCCATGGAGAGGAACAAAGGAAGGTGGAATGCTGCCCTGGCTGGGGGGCAGGGCTGGAAGAGAGTGAGTTAGTTGCTGTCTGAGAGCATGGAGGAGACAGCCTAGGGAAAGGGGCTGGAGTTTAGGGGCCCAGTCTCCCCCATCTCAAGGGGGCCTGAGGCATCCTAGCCCAGCTCTGTGACCAGATTACATCTGTGCTGTGCTGTATCCTGGAGAGGCAATAAACTTCCTCTATTCCACCGGCTGGTGCAGTCTGTTTGTGCCATTTCAGGGTGCAGGAGACGGGGGACCCCCAACCCGCCATCACACCCCGTATCGAGGGCAGCCGTTCACAGCTGTGCAATGTGTGAGACACTGCCATTCTGCGCGGGGAGCATTTTACACCCAAACTTTTCTCCAATGTCCCTGGCTGAACAAAATCCTAGGAAACAAAAAATCAGCCCTGAGCCTTTTAGAACTAGCATTAAGGAAATACAGATCCAATAAAAGATATTACCTTATCAAATATTATGATATCAAACCACTGGCCAGCTTGCAGATCATTAAACAACCTCTTCTGCACAGCAGAGATTAAAGAGAGCAGGTAGACCATTACATTGGATTTTTCCTACTACGAAAAGTTATCTGTAATAATAAAACCAGGCTGTGTGAGAAATTGATACACATTTAGGAGTTCAAAAGGGCTAATTTCCCAAAGATGAGGAAACCTCTGAATGAAATTGAGATGATAAAATTAGTGGGAAAATGTGATTCAAAAAGGGGGAAATAAGATAGCAATTGGGTTACATTAGAAGTTATGAAGTGCATAAACATGATAAGGGAAGCTAAAGACCAGGGAATAATTCATGGCTGACATGGAGGAGTTTAAGTATATTAGGAATGAAAGAAGTCCTAGTTTAGGCCCATTGCTAGATGGAAATGGTAAAAGTTAATAACAATTCAGAGATGGCAGAAGTGTTCAATAATTTTTTCTATTCTGTATATGGTATTTGTAAAGAAAAAGGATGAGATTTACTTATCATATGAGGATGATGTAGAATCATAGAATCCTAGGGGTTGGAAGAGACCTCAGAAATCATCAAGTCCAGCCCCCTGCCCAAAGCAGGACCAACCCCAACTCAATCAGCCCAGCCAGGGTTTTGTCAAGCTGAGGCTTAAAAACCTCTAGGGATGGAGACTCCACCCCCTTCCTAGGGAACCCAGCCCAGCGCTTCCCCACTATAACTTGAGACCATTGCTCCTTGTTCTGCCATCTGCTACCACTGAGAACAGCCTCTCTCCAGCCTTGCTTATCTGATAGTCGAATAGTGAATCGACTGGATGCTCCCCCCCTTCTTGCTGCCTTTATAAGAGAGATAAAGACAGGGGCTGAGGTCGTCAATCAAACTGTTCGCGGTGGCCAGGGCAGGCTGCAGGCAGAGGCTACTGCTGCATCAGCCCCTCTTTGCAGTGAACAGGGCAGTCCACCGTGAACAGGGGCTGCTGGACTCAGCATGACCCAGGACTGCACAGTGCCAGCTCCTGCTGATCGGTAAGCTCTTACTACATTTAAAATGCAGAGCCACTGTACAGGTGGCTCCAGAGCTAGTACGAGCCAGTTCTGCTCAGTCCCGTCTTGAGTCAGCTTCTGGAACTACCCCTGCTACAGCTCTGCAGAGTGGCGCTTATCGACTAATCATATAGTCAATACAAATTGTATCAACTATACTTTTAGCCAGATAATCGCTTTTTAACATCCTTAATCTGTTTTTTTTTCCTCTTTTTAAGAAGAGCTATTTTATTATGACCAGTGCCTAGTGTTCATTTTAGTCAATTAGATTAAGAACAGAGTTTCTTGCTGGTGAACAATAAAGCATGTCCTCAGTATTACTCTGAGGGGAGGGATAGCTCAGTGGTTTGAGCATTGGCTTGCTAAACCCAGGGTTGTGAGTTCAATACTTGCAGAGGCCATTTGGGGCAAAAATTGTCAGGGATGGTACTTGGTCCTGCTGTGAAGGCAGGGACTGGACTTGATGACCTTCAAGGTCCCTTCCAGTTCTCAGGAGATAGGCAATCTCCATTAATTTATTTTTAATTTAACCCATCCCCTCATCCAGGGAATCTAGCAGGTTGCCCCAAGGATTGGTTCTAGGACTGGTTTTGTTCACCTCCATTCCCTCGCCCAAGGGGGAGAGAGCCCTTGTGGGGACCCAGGCCCTGGAGGAGGGGAGCAGGCGGCTGCAGAGGATGGAGAGAGAGAGAGATGCCCTGCAGGGTTAGTGTTTAATGGGGAGGGTGTGTGATGAGGCGTCTGAGTTAAAACCCAGCGGTGGGAGAGGGCTGGAGGGCGGAGCCGGCAGCTGAGGCAGATTCAGCCAATTAGGGCCCAGCTGGGGCTGTATAAATCAGGGCTCGGGGAGGGAGGAGAAGAGGCTCTCTGGCTGTAGGGGGGGGGAGCAGAAGGGGTCTGGCCTCTGGGGAAGCTGGTGGCTTCCTGGGGCATGGCAGGCAGACAGAGTGCACGCACGCTCTGGCCTCACTCCCAGGTTACAGGCCCCAAGATGCTCTCGCAAACGAATAGCAAGACGTAAGGGGAGTGGGTAGAAATTACAATGGGCTTTCGAGGACCCTCCTGGGGAGCTGCAGAGCCAGCAGCTGCCTGACTTGGGAAGCCTGGCCAGGCTGGTGGGTGAGGTAGCAAGTACAGACACGCAGGGCTGGAAGGGACCGCGGGGTGTCCTGTAGTCCAGCCCCGTGTGCTGAGGCAGGATTAAAAATGACTCGCGAAACAAGCCCCAGATGGACTTCCACACGGGCTCAGTGTGCCTGGAGCAGAGACCCGGGAGCCATGCTTGGCTCCTCTCTGCCATCTGCAAAGATCACAGCGAGGCCAGAATTGCCTCTTGAGTAACATCAGTGGGGGGCAGTTAGGTAACTCCATCTTCATAGCCACCAAGAAGGGTAGTGAGAGGCAGCCCATCCCAGAGAGACCTCTGAGAGGCCAGCGGCTGGTCACAGCTCGCAGTCGCTACTGGCGTAGGCCAGATTCCAACTAGCTCTGTAAGTGGGCACGGCCCTTTGGTCACATATTTACTGATAAGTAAAGGCTTGTTTTCTGCCAGTGACCTTTTCTCTCACACCCTCACAAAGCCACCCAGGTGGGGCGTGGACTGCCGGTGCTCCCAAAGCAGCTGGGCCGGGGCCATGGCGTTTTGGTGCGATGGAGCTCTGAGGTGAGCCAGCGGGGCCTGGCAGTCGTGACAGCATAGGCAGCAATCCAAGATGGCAACAGAGTGGGCCACTGTGGTGCTTTACCTCAGGACCATCACAGAATCAACACCGAAAATGGTTTCAAAGGGAACCGGGAATGACCCAGCGTTAGAATTTCAGAGTAAGGCAAACCTCCGAGTGACAGAGCGAGCCTAGCAACAGGGGCGAGCGCAGACCACCGCTGGGTAGCCCCTGCCACCGGCCCTGGGACTGTCTGGGCAGGGAATGTCCTTAGTGCAGCACCTGGCCCGACAGGGCCCTATTCTTGATTGGCTTCTGTGGGTTTATAATAATTGCAAAGTCAGTCCCTCACGGCAGGGGTCAGCAAAGGGTGTTGTGCAAGGCCGGCGTAGACACGCCTCAGTGACCCAGCAAGCTGAAACTGCTCCATCTGTCAAGGCCACTTAGAGACATCTTCATTCCCACATCACTGATGTAACAGGCATTGGTGACTCAGGAAGCTGCAATGCAGAAGGAGGCTTTTGTCTGAGGCATTTTTGGGCCAGTGCCCTAGCACGGTGTTAGGGGCACTACGCTTCTGAAGGGGCATCTAAAATTCAAATCCTGAGCATTTGTGGGCATGAAGATCCCTTTCCTGAGGACTCCCTCCCCTCGTCAGATGCCAGCTGGGGTCACTCCTTTGTGCCTCTCTCAAGTCTCCTTGTGCAGTTTTAATTGGCCACGGTATGTCTTATATCCTAGTGTCACCGCATGCCGCAAAGCAACTGCGAGTCTGGCACTCGGACGCACTGGACCTCGAGTCTGCCGCTGTGTTCTCTGAGACGCACCTTTTCCCCGAGTGGCCTTACTTAGATTATGGGGCTTCTTGCAGGGAAGGCACTAGGCAGTGAGCATGGTAAAAGCAGGTTATTAGTTATACTCAACTTAACCCACATTGAGACACGGTTTGTTGAAGCTCCGGAGCGATTTTTTTCTTCACTTATGCCTTTTCGGCCAAGGTGTTGCAACATCCACGGGCACTCTCTCTCACACACGGAGCTCTCACAGCCAGGCCCACACCCCAAAACTGCAAGCCGAA